TAGATGTGTCTTGACAACGACTATTTGCTTTTACCATTCTTGTTTCTCTACCTTTTAGTTTATATATATATATATATATATGTATATATTTAGAAATTCAAACGAACAATTAAAGCAGGTAAAAGTAATAAAAAGCAATAAAACAAAAGATATGTGTGTTGGCAAGACAGCATTTCTTCAGGGGACACGCTGCCAACAAACACACAGGAGCCTTTCTGTTGTCAGTGGAAAAACCCAAAAGTGACGGTGCCCCGAGGCCCCATAAATGAATAGACAAATAAGAGAAGATCATTACATGAAATGCACAGGAAAATAATGAACCAGCAAATACAAAAGTACAAATAGTAATACTTGAAAATGAAGCGCGCACTTATAAATAAAAATAGTTACACTTACAGTTAGAATGAAGCAGCAAATCAAAATAAAATATGTTTTTGGTTATCGGTTGGTTTCTTTTAAAAAGTACAAAAACTACTTAGAAAATTGCTTAAAATTCTTTAAATTTTTAAGATATTCAAATCGGGTTTTTTTATTAGTTGCCAAATACGATTTCATGCAAAATTAAGAGAGAAAAAATTCAAATTTTTCCCACGTATCCGCAGTATAAGACAACTACTTGAATTAATCATATCTTGGACAGTTTTAAATGAATTTTTCTCAAATTTTTAAAGCAATGATTTCCTAAGTAATTTCAAATTGATCTAAAAATTTTGTTTAATTTCGTTGAATATTTTTAAAGTTATAGCAAAAAGTTGTAAAAAAAAAATTCTTGTTATTTTTTTAAATAAAAATGTCCATATCTCCATAAATATTTAAGCTAGGCTTACGAAATTTTGTGCATACAACAATCAAATTAATTTCTCCATGTTATATATTTTATTGCTGCTTTTTTGGGAATAGGGTGTTCAAAAACACTAAATTCCGTTTGTAATTTATTGTTGGTCCCCCAATCCTCCAAAAGATTTAAACTTCTATGATAAATATGAGAAATCGCATGATACTTCTGAAGTTATGAAATGATTCTTTAAGTATTTCTTAAGAAGTATGGAAAAATCTTTTAGCATAGAAGAGTTTCCATTACTTTGTCCATCCCCTGTATATGATGCTAATATATTGATTCCTCACACTAGTATATTATTATATTTTGCTTTGAAAATATTAATACAATATTAAGAAAGCACTCTAATTAGCTGATATAATCGTGTGAGCTGATGACAAGCTTTTATCTTTTCGTTATTTTGTTTTTAGCTTTTAATTTTTTTTCAATTTAAAAAAAAAATTTACAAATCATTTCATGATTTTTTAATAGTTTTTTTTCTCTTCTTTTTTAAAAAATATTTTTCTTTTTGTTTCTTTCATTGTTTTCTTGGTAGTTTATCTATTGTGTTGCGTTTTATCACTTAAAAAAACTTTAAATTACGCAGTTAAAAGCAAATTGTATGTTATTAGAACAGCTGTTGCCGTAATATTATGAGAAACGAAAATTATTTATTTTACGCTTTTCCAAAATTGCTTACCAATTTTTTTTTCATTGAAACTTTCTTTATATGAATACGACAATCCATATTTCTTACTATTTTTTATATAAGTACAACAATCATATAAAGTTAATTTCAATCTTACGTTCGATTGAAATCAGTGAATTTCAAGATCATGTTCAATAATAAGCCATTAAAACAAGTAATAAATTCAACGTTTCTAGTTCCTCCTGTACCTAAAACAAATTTCTTACGTCAAAGTACGATGATTGAATTTGTATTTTATGATCTTTTGAATCAGTATTTAACAATAAAATACTTTGAAACTGTCCTTTTCTTGCTAAATGTCCGTAAACAACAGGAATATAGCTTTCTGACTAAAACATTATGCATATTGGCCTCAAATATAGGTTAACTTATTCAAATTTGATTGGATTTAATTCATTCAATACTCGAGGCTGGTTTAAATATATTAAAAATTCGAGGCTGGATTTAATCTATTAGATATTTGATTTTAATTTTGATAAGAATAGCATTGTTTTTGAAATAAAAGATGTTAAAAAGTGTGATACATTTATTTCGCAAAAGACCTCTTTTGATGAATATGACAACATTTGGGACAGCTTATGTTTCAGCTTCGTTTTCGAATCAGCTCATTAAGAAACATCTTCTCCCCGATAAAAAAGATATAGACTTCCGAAACGTTGTTAATCATGGTATCATAGGATATTGTATCATGGGACCTGTCCTCTACGGTTGGTTTCGATTTTTCAACAAAATTTTGCCTGCCGTGTCGAAAAGAAATATCATATTCAAAGTGTTAGTAGATCTCGCAGTGTGTACACCAGGGACTATTTCCATCTATTTTACAAGTAAGCAAAATATTTGTTATAATAATATTTTTATAATTTATTTATAATGAAAATGTTTTAATATATTGTTGATTTACAATATATTGTTAAATTAGTGACAGTAATTAAAAATTAATTAAAATTAATAATTAATTTAAAATTAGATTTTAGTTTAAAATTAATTATAATTTAAAAATTAATCAAGACCGATTATTATTTAAGGAAGATTAATTAATTAAGGGATCAAATATGTTGAATAAGAGGCAATAATTAGAAATTAATTGAAATTAAAAATTATTTTGAAATTGGTTATTAATTTGAAACTAGTATTAATTTAAAACTAACTATTATTTAAAAATTAATCAAGAAGGATTATTCTTTATGGAAGGTAAATTTATTAAGGGATCAAATTTTTTGAATTAGAAACAATAATTAAAACTTAATCAAAATTAATAATTAATTCTAAATTAGTTACTAATTTAAAATTAATCATTAATTTAAAATGAATTATTAATTCAAAATTAATTTCTATTTGAAAATTAATCAAGATTGATTATTATTTAATGAAGATTTATTAATTAAAGGATCAAATTTGTTGAACTGGAGACATTAATTAAAACTTAATTAAATTATTAATTAATTAAAAATTAGTCATTAATTTAAAGCTAGTTATTAATTTAAAATTAATTATTATTTAAAAATTAATCAAGATTGTTTATTATTTAAGAAAGAATAATTAATTAAGGGATAAAATCTGTTGAATTAGAAACAATAATTATAAATTAATTAATATTAATAATTAATTTGAAATTAGCTTTAAATTTAAAATTAGTTATTAATTTAAAATAAATTATTACTTAAAAATTAACAAAGATTTATTATTATTTAAAAATTAATAAATATTGATTATTATTTATGGAAGATTAATTAATTAAGGTATCAAATTTGTTGAATTAGAGACAATAATTAAAAATTTATTAATATAAATAATTAATGTGAAATTAGTTATTAGTTTAAAATTAGTTATTAATTTAAAATTAAGTATTATTTAAAAATTTATCAAGATTGATTATAATTTATTGAAAATTAAATAATTATGAAATATAAATTAATCGAGAGTTCAAGATTAATCAATGTTAATTATTCTTTAAAAATTAATCAAGATTAATTTTTATTTAAAAATATTTTAATTAATAATTCGGGAATCAAATATGAATTTCTCCAGAATTTTGCTTAATCTTTAAAATCACAATGAGATAATTAAAATAGTGTGGCCTTTAATGCTTATTATTGAATTATTTTGTAGGCAAAATATTTAAAATCATATTTATTAAACCTTTGAGGAGTAATGGGATAAAAACTGTTCTCTTATTGCTGACAATAATATAAATCATTTATTTCGTAACAGTTTTTATCTTTTATTATATTAAACTATTGTTGACAATAATATAAACCATTAATTTCGTAACAGTTTTTATCTTTTATTATATTAAACTATTGTTGACAATAATATAAACCATTANCTAGTTATTAGTTTAAAATTAATCATTATTTAAAAATTAATCAAAATTGTTTATTATTTAAGAAAGATTAATTAATTAAGGGATCAAATTTGTTAAATTAGAGACAATAATTAGAAATTAATTAATATTAATAATTAATTTGAAATTAGTTACTAATTTAAAATTAGTTATTAATTTAAAATTAATTATTATTTGAAAATTAATAAAGATTGATTGATTATTGTTCAGAAATTAATAAAGATCGATTATTATTTATGGAAGATTAATTAATTAAGGTATCAAATTTGTAGAATTAGAGACAATAATTAAAAATTTATCAATATTAATAATTAATTTGAAATTAGTTATTAGTTTAAAATTAGTTATTAATTTAAAGTTAAGTATTATTTAAAAATTTATCAAGATTGATTATTATTTATTGAAAATTAATTAATTATGAAATATAAATTAATCGAGAGTTCAAGATTTATCAATGTTAATTATTCTTTAAAAATTAATCAAGATTAATTGTTATTTAAAAATAATTTAATTAATTAATCGGGAATGAATTTCTCCAGAATTTTGCTTAATCTTTAAAATCACAATGAGATAAATAAAATAGTGAGATTTTTAATGTTTATTATTGAATTATTTTGTAGGCAAAATATTTAAAATCATATTTATTAACCTTTTGAGGAGTAATGGGCTAAAAACTGTCCACTTATTGTTGACATTTATATAAACCATTAATTTCGTAACATTTAAAAAAAAAAGTAGTTGATTGAAAACTGCGTTGTGAAAAGATAAAAACTGTCCACTTATTGTTGACAATAATAAAAACCATTAATTTCGTAACAGTTTTTATCTTTTATTATATTAAACTATTGTTGACAATAATATAAACCATTAATTTCGTAACAGTTTTTATCAAATATTATATTAAACTAATGTTGACAATAATATAAACCATTAATTTCGTAACAGTTTAAAAAAAATGTAGTTGATTGAAAACTGCGTTGTGAAAAGATAAAAACTGTCCACTTATTGACAATAATATAAACCATAAATTTCGTAGCAGTTTTTATCTTTTATTATATTAAACTATTGTTGACAATAATATAAACCATTAATTTCGTAACAGTTTATATCTTTTGTTATAAAAACTCTTACGAAATTAATAGTTTATATTATTGTCAACAATAAGTGGACAGTTTTTATCTTTTAACAACGCAGTTTTTAATCAACTATCTTTTTCTTTTTTTTTTAAATGTAAACATAAAGAAAATTGCTTCCTTGTGCACATGCATTAAAAAAAAAAAACAGTATTTCATAAATAGTTAAACTGTTATTAATATTAATGATGTAATCTGCTTCAAAACCAGACATTATTTTATGAAATTGTTTTAAACCTATTTCAATTATGTTCTAATTTCTCCTGATTGCGCCTTATATTGATGCACAATAATTATTTTTTAAAATTGTACTAAATCCTCCATAAATTTAGTATTTTCTATAAAACTGTACGTAATTTGTCCGTATAATTATTATTATTTGTTTAAAAGTTAGACTACTCCTAATTGTAGCTAATTTTGTACTAATCATAGATTTATGCTGAGTTAAATAAATTGATTTTTAAATATAGTTTAAGTCCCATAATGGATTAATTGTAGACACCGTTCCCAGTAGAACAGCGAAGTCAAGCATCATTGGCTGCTGTCAGTGAGCGGGCGGGTGAGCACTATGATCAGACTGCATAAAGGGCACGTTGTATCGGTCCTCGTTAAACGGATCAACCGTATAAATTGCTCAACTTCACGTGCAGGTCGTCGGGCAGAACTGATTTGAAATATAAAGTGCAAAGCCGCCTGCAAAATATAGAAAAATAAAGGTAAGAAATAGAAGTATAAAAACCACAGTTCTGAGAGGGGAAAAAGATGAAAAATAGAATAAGAAAAACCACAGTGGCCGAGAGGGACAAATCAAGGTAAAATGCATTTCCACGCGCTATGGAGAGTTGGCGAGGAACTAATGTTGTTAACAAGGAAAACATCATTCATATAAAGAAAATGAGATTCCAAGAAATCAAGATGATCTGATATGACTAAGATGGAAGTAATTTTGGCATTGTCGAAAGTGAATTTATGCCTAAGATTCCAACAGTGAGCTGAAAGTGATGAATTCCCATATTTTTGATAACGGACATAATTATCTTTTTCCCTCTCAGCTATGTTGTTTTTCCAGTTTTGTTTCTCACCTTTATTTTTTCATTCTTCGTTGGAAAATTTTCCTTTTATATTTCAAATGACTTCTGTTTCTTCTTATTTATGTTTGGGAAGTCTTGAAAATGGGCGCCTGTTTTTGAGCGCTTAAAAGATGTCGACTGTTTTTTCCTATTAACATGNATTAGGATGGAAATAATTTTGGCATCGTTGAAATTGAATTTATGCCTAAGATTCCAACAATGAGCAGAAAGTGATGATTTCTCGTATTTTTGATAACGGATATAATTATCTTTTTCCCTCTCGGCTACTGGGGTGTTTCAAGTTTTGTTTCTCACATATATTTTTCCGTTTTTCTTTGGAAAATTTTCCTTTTATATTTCAAATGATTTCTGTTTCTTCTTATTCATGTTTGGGAAGTCCTGAAAATGGACGCCTGTTTTTGAGCGCTTAAAAGACGTCGACTGTTTTTTCCTATTAACATGTTTTTGAAGCGAATGAAGTTTTAAATTAGGTAATCTCTTCGTACTTAGATTAAAAATGCTAGGTGCTTCGATTTTATTCGGGTAGCAAATTTACATTTTAATAGTCATTTAAGTGTTCGTTTTTTTAGAGCAATAAAAGCATTGTTGTGTCAACGGGAAGAAACAAATTTTGCCCTTTATCGGGGATTATGAAATATTTTTATATATATAGATGTAATAAACATTTAATAGTAAAAATAATAAATAAATTATAATTATTATTCAAATAATTTTTATTTATATACCCAATTATTGATTCTTAATATTATTTTAATAATCGATTGTTTTGTTATTTTTTTCGATAAGGTATGAGTATATTAGAAGGCAGAGAAGATATCTTTGCTGAACTTAAACACAGATTCTCAAAAGTAATGACAGTAAGTATATTTTGAGTACAGTGAAGCAATTAATTTTTAAATGCATTTTAAACCAGGTGATTAATCTTTACTTACTGTGTTGTTTCTAAACAACGATAGCCTGGTTCAGTCTTCTAAATTTTTTTCAATTTGAGAGACTTAGATTTGAGAGTTTTCAACTTAAATGTCAATATTGCTTTTATTTAACGTAGTTAATATAACGTTTCTATTTAACGTTTTACATAATAAATTTCCTCGTTCATTTGCCAATATACAAATTTCTTTTTATGATGAATTGTCGTTTAAAGGTTAATTAGTGATAGATCTTTCATGTCTTATAATTTTGTAGATTAGAAAACTGAGAAACTTCCATAAGAGTAGGAATTATCAAAGTAAAAATAATAATAATTAGACAGTAGAATAAGTTTTCGTAGAGGAAAACAATAGAGTGAAAGTAATATTTTTACAGTAGGCTAATAAGTGGACTTTTTAAGAAAAACTGTTACTTAAAAGTTGCAAGAAATTATTAAAACATTAAAGGAAATTTTAACTTTAACACGTTGAATGCCTCGCTAATTTTACATGGCTTGCACTTACCCGTCTGGCCAAACGGTAAATAACTACAAACTAAATTTGCAAATTTGACAGATTGTGCAAGTATTTTAAAAGGTTTAGCATGAAACTTCACTGAAATAAGCTGTGAATTGTATAAGCATAAGAATTGTTTAGAAATAGTGGTGGATAAAAATCTACTAAATTAAATTTAGTAAACCAAGAATTACAATTAATAAATTACCACTTGAAAATATTTATTTGCTGTCCGGAGCACGTTGGTATCTCTGCGTATTTTTATAAAGTACTGTGTATTTGTATAAAGCTATTTTTGTGTGCTCTATATTGCATTAATTTCTTCAAGCTATCGGGTTGTTCGGAAAGTGATTTCGTTTTTCCGATTGAGGATTTAATTATATTTTTTCAAACCCAATTTCGCACTTAAGCCGCATTATCATTATATGTTTTGAGAGCTGATATAGCAAGGCTTGTGTGTGAAAAAGTTCAATTAATTCTACGCAGTAGTTTTTGGTTGGTTTCCTTTTAAATATGGAGAGCAGCAAGCAGCAATTTCGTCATATTTTACTTTCTTACTATATAAAAGGTAAAAATGCTGCTCATGCCAGAAAGAAATTAACCGAGGTGTATGGAGAAGATGTGTTGACAGTACGCCAGTGCCAGAATTGGTTTGCAAAATTTCGATCTAGCAATTTTGGTGTCGAAGATGCACCATGTTCTGGAAGGCCGGTTGAAGCTGATAAAGACACGATAAAGGCATAAGTTGATGAAAATCGGCGAATAACAACACGTGAGATCGGTGAGAGGTTAAATATATCGAATTCAACTGTTTATGGTCACTTGAAAGGCCTGGGTTTTACCTCGAAGCTCGATATATGGGTTCCCCATGTTCTCACGGAGAGAAATTTGTGTCGTCGCGTCGACGTCTGTGATTCGCTTCTCAAACGTCACGAAAATGATCCATTTTTGAAGCGCATCATTACTGGGGACGAAAAATTGGTTGTTTATAACAATGTCAAACGCAAGAGATCATGGAGCAAAAAATATGAACCGGCTCAAAGCATTTCGAAAACCAATATCCATCAAAAAAAGGTAATGCTGTCTGTTTGGTGGGATTTTAAAGTAATGTTTTTTTTTTTTTTGAGATTTTACCGGATAACACAGCAATTAATTCGGAAGTCTACTGTCGTCAGCTGGACAAACTGAATGAGGCACTTCAACAGAAAAGGCCAGAATTAATCAATAGAAAAGGTATAGTGATCCATCAAGATAATGCGAGACCTCATACAAGTTTGGTCACTCACCAAAAGCTTTTACAGCTTGAATGGGATATACTACCACACCCACCATATTCTCCAGATCTGGCACCTTCGGATTATTATTTGTTCCGGTCACTGCAAAATTTTTTGGACTCTAAAATCTTTACTTCAAATGAAGAGGTCAAAAATCACCTGGATCAGTGTTTTGCTAGCAAAGACCAAGCATTTTATGAGCGTGGAATCATGCTACTACCAGAAAGATGGCAAAAGGTGTTGGACCAGAATGGTTAATGTATAATTTAATAAAATATTTATTCATTATACAAAAATTGTCTTTCGTTTCCCCCCCCCCCCCAANCGTATTCCCCCCCCCCCCCCAAAAAAAAACGAAATTACTTTCCGAACAACCCAATATTTTAGTAACTATAATAATATAAAAAAATTTAAAATTTACTCGAATTATGTGTTTCTAATAATCTTGGCTTCGCTGGTCACCGGGGTCTCCCGTGGCACTACGAATAAACTCAGTGCCAATCACCGGTGACCCCTGTGGTTCAACGTGTGTGTGTTCAACGTGTTAAACTAAAAATAAATAAATAAATATGAAATAAATATAAATAAATATAACTTTTCCTTTATCTTTATTTTTGGTAACACAATGGATTATTTTGAACCGTAGAGCTTACAAAAGGCAATGGCAGCAAGTTAAAAACTACAAGAGAGTTAACATAAGCGGCATAGTAAAATATTGGATCATATTTGAACAAGAGTTAGCTAGATTAAAAATGGGTTTAGAAAAATCCATTGTTCTATATATATAAACTGAAATAAATTGCTTAGAGTTTTAAAAACTTAAGAACATTTTTCTGTACAACCAAATGCAGCACAAAAAACCACTATATTTGAGTACATAATATGTATCAATTTGGTATTATATCTTTTACTTGCATCTTTAGTAGTTAGCAGGTCTCAAAGTTTTCATTCTTATAAAATTGATAGTTTGCATGACTAATAAGGTTGGAACCAGCTTCCATAGGGACTAAAGAAGGATAACATAAAGTCCTGTTTACAAAATTAGTTTCAATAACATCTAAGTCTAATCAAATATAATCTATTTCCTATTCTTTTCTTCTTTTGCTTTGTTGTAATGCTCCCCACTCGGAATCTTGGCGATTTCACTCAAAATTTGAGGAGCAATTATTTCGTATTTATGGTATATTTTTAAATTAAATGTCCTTTCAGGCATATAAGAATAAGAAATACATGCCTTGGAAATGTGGAGCTCTAGTCCGGGATAATTTTTAAAGTAACGAGCGTTAAAGATTCGGGTTTACTAAAAGCAATTTTTTTAAGCAATTTTAAGTGTTCATGATTCCCCATTATCCAGTTCTAGTGTTATATAATTTCCTAAACGTAATATGTTGAGCTATATTTATTTTTAAAACACATGTTTCAAGCTTTATCCATTTTATTAAACGTATACATTGTGCTACGGTTATTTTTTAAAACGCGTGTTTCAAGGTTTATTCATTTTCTTAAACGTACATGCTGAGCTATGTTTATTTTTTAAAACGCGTGTTTCAAGCTTTATTCATTTTCTTAAACGTATACATTGTGCTACGGTTATTTTTTAAAACGCGTGCTTCAAGGTTTATTCATTTTCTTAAACGTACATGCTGAGCTATGTTTATTTTTTAAAACGCGTGTTTCAAGCTCAATATTATTTTCTTAAGCATATTATGTTGTGCTATATTTCTTTTTTTTAAATGAGTCTTTCAAGCTCAATCCACTTTCTTAAAAGTATTTGTTGAGCAATGTTTATTTTTCAAAACGCGTATTTCAAGCTCTCTCCATTTTCTCAAACGTATACATTGTGCTATATTTATTTTTTAAAACGCGTATTTCAAGCTCTGTCCAGTCTCTTAAACGTAAACATTGTGCTATGTTTTTTATAAAACGCGTGTTTCAATATTTATTCATTTTCTTAAACGTATATGCTGAGCTATGTTTATTTTTTTAAAACGCGTGTTTCAAGCTCTCTATCCATTTTCCGATAGACTCCAAAAATAAAATGTTTATTGACAATATAAGTTTATTTTTGGCAGTCGAATGAATTTTGTGATATTTACAAACTACTTTGTCAACAGACTTAAACGAAAATATTCATTGACCCAGCTGCATTGATCTTGTTCATTGTATAAAAATTGTAAATGTTTTCTTTTATGCTTTAAATAAATGCGTTCTTTTTCTAGTGTAACATCTGTTTTTGGGTACCAGCACAAGCCATTAGCTACCGTTTTATACCACCGTATTTTCGAGTGGGTTTTATTGGATTTGCATTGTTTATATGGATAAACATAATATGTGTCATTAGAAGTCAAGAGGTATCAATTAATTTTCTCATCTTTAATTAAACTTGTCTCGATACTTTTTATATAAATCTTCTTTTTAATATTTTTAACACATTGGTTGATGTTTTACTAAAACATTTTGCAAGTTTTTATTTTGACGCCTTACATTTTTTTTAACCTTTGCGAACGATTCTGATCAAAAATAGTTATTCCTAGGATTTCATGTTATCACGAATATTGTGTCATACATTTTTTGTAGACTAGTTGTTTTTGCTTTTGTAAAAGTTTTCAAAACTAATATAACTATGAATATCTAACAAAATTTTAATTTTTTTTTAGCGTTTCTTACATTTTAAATGTTTTGTTATGCATTGAAGAATAAGGTTCTGCACTAAAATATGCTATAATGTATTATTAACCCTTTGATGCAGATGGGTGTTTCTATTATATATTTTTATCTGATGAACAAGAAAAAATGTATTTTGATGTTTTTTAATTATAAAAAACTGTCTAATAGTTACTAAAAAAATGTGTTAGAATATTGAAATTATATTTGTACTAAAATATAAAATCCAAAAAAAGTAGTTTGAAAGAATTGTTTTTCCATTCGAATTTTATCAAGAATTAATTTTGTAAATTAGAGAAATTTCAATGATGAATAACTGTTTCTTTTACATCTGAATAACTGCAAATAAGTGTAAATTTGAAAAACTATTGTTTAAAAGGGAACCGTGTTGGGAAAATTTTACATTTAATGGAATAAAAAAGAAGAAAAAAAAGACACCTGTGTTTTTTGACGTATTTCATAGCCATAAATTTCTGAAATGCTAAATATAATATTTTCCACTTATTATGTACCTTAAATAATAATAATAGAAAAAAAGTATGATAATATGTTTAATTAAAATTCTGCATCAAAGGGTTAAAGGTTAAAGAAAATTCTGGAACAATTCATATTTAATTCCCAAGTAATTAATTAAATAATTTTTCAATAATAATTACTTTTTATTAGTTGATTTAATTAATTATTAATTAATAAATAATTAAAACTTTACTTTGAATTTAAAATTTTTTTTACAGTGGTTTTATGAAACTTTCTTAGATTGTTTCTTCATTTGTATAAAACATTTCAGTTAAATTTTTTTTTGCAGATTCCAATTCGGAAGAAAGTTGAGATCCCTGCCGTGTTTGGATGGTGTGCTGTTACTTGCAGTCCTAGTTCAGAAGTTGAAGGTCATAAAAAACAGCGAGAACTTCTCACTTTGTGGGAAGTATAATGAAAGTGCAGTTATAAGTAATGGCAGAGTAGGTGTAATAAAAATATTTTCATGATGATTCTCAGGTATAATGATAAGTAATGACAGAGTAGATGTAGTGAAAACATTTTAATTATTCCTCCTCAGGTACAATGATAAGTAATGACAGAGTAGGTGTAATGAAAATATTTTCATGATGATTCTCAGGTATAATGAAAAGTAATGACAGAGTAGATGTAGTGAAAACATTTTCATTATTCCTCCTCAGGTACAATGATAAGTAATGACAGAGTAGGTGTAATAAAAATATTTTCATGATGATTCTCAGGTGAAAACATTTTCATTATATTTCCTCAGGTACAATGATAAGTAATGACAGAGTAGGTGTAATGAAAATATTTTCATAATGATTCCTTAGGTAATGACAGAGTAGATGTAATAACAGAGTATAAGTAATGACAGAGTAGATGTAGTGAAAACATTTTCATTATACTTCCTCAGGTACAATGATAATGGCAGAGTAGGTGTTAGGAAAACTTTTTTATTATACTTCCTCAAGTATAATGATAAGTAATGGAAGAGTAGGTGTATTGAAAATATTTCATTATACTTTCTCAGGTATAATAATAAGTAATAGCCGAGTAGTATTAATGAAAATATTTCCATTATACTTCCTCGTGCATAATGAATGATAAGTAATGGCAGAGTAGGTGTAAGGCAAACATTTTCATTATACTTCTTCAGGTATAATGATAAGTAATGGTATAGTAGATGTAATGACAGTCATCACACCTACTTATTAACGGTCATTTTATATTTTAAGAAACAGTTTAATATATTCCTTATAACTTATATATTATATATAAGTGCAACGACTTCTTTAACCAAGTTTGATATGAAATTAGTTTACTACTAGATTTATCTCTTTTTCAGGGCTCAAACAGCCCTGTTTTATAGCACTAGGTTTGATGAAGGTGTAAGAGCTTTTCGTAAACAAACACAGCTTAATTTATTATAGTTTGCAGCTTAATAACGCACCTTTAATTTCGTTTTTAATAATTTATTTTGTCAGTTTTTATAACTTGCAGATACGGTTTGCAAAATTATAGCAGAGCGAAATTGTTAGTGTGAAACCAAATTATATATTTTTAAATTTTTCTGGAGCATTAGAACAAGGTTAAGAATTGAACTAAAACAATAATTTGTAATAAATTGTTTATTGTGAAGCCAAATTATATATTGCTAAATTTTTCTAGAGCAATTGAACAAGGTTAAGTGTTGAACTAAAGCAACAATTTATAATAAATTGTTTATTGCGAAACCAAATTATGTATTTTTAAATTTTTTCTGGAGCAATAGAACAAAGTTAAGAGTTGAACCAAAGCAATAATTTGTTGTAAATTGTTTATTGTGAAACCAAATTATATATTGTAAAATTTTTCTGGAGCAATAGAACAAGGTTAACAGTTTAACTAAAACAATAATTTGTAATAAATTGTGTATTATGTGTTTTATCCATTATCAGGGATGCCACAGATGGCTAAAAATGTAAAAAGTGGTAGCAACTCAATCCATTTTTAGTTATTTATTATCTCTTCAATTATTCAATCGTAAATGCCACCATGAGTTATATTTCAAACTATACATAATTAAACTTAAAACATACCTTATATGCGTTTTCAATAGTAAACTGAAAATACATACTATTAAAAGTCGCTAATTTTATCTCTTTTAATAAGACTTTAATTTTATTAGTCACCACTTTTTGCATTTGTAATCGCCTATGGCCAACCCTGCATTATGTATTTCTCCCAATAAGATTTCATTTTTTAATTGGGATTAGTAAATAGCGTAAATGCATAAAATATTTGTGACGAACAGTTATTTACAATATTATTGTAATAATAAACAAAATCATTTCTGTAAATATGTAGATTATGTATAAAATTGAAAATAAATATATTTTGTTAAAAACTATGTTAAATTTTTTGGGGCTAAATTGAATTTTTGTTCTACTTCAAGATTTAAATAATATCATATTTAAGGTGGTGGTGCCTCAGCATCAGTCATTGGAACGTGCACGAAAAATAAAAAAATGAAGGAAACTGAAATTAAAAAATATATGTGAAACTTTTTTCAAAAGTTTTTGAAAATAAAACACTTACCTATTAGATAAGAATAAAAAAATATATTTTATGACATAGATACATTTATAATGAGTCACCAGCTGTAAGAACATCTTATATATTCCTTATATATTTCTTTATTCAATATGTTCTCCCAATATATTCATTCAGCAGGTTTGCCCTAGCGACTGAAAATGAGAAATGGAATGACTAATAAATTCTCAAAATTATTAGTCATTCCATTATAATTAATAATAAAAACTCAAAATTTTATGAAAAAGGATTAAAGCCTTTTTCTAGCCTACTTTTTTTAGTTTAATTTCAAAAAAAAAAATATGAATTTGAAATATAAATCTTACTATTAAATAATTAAGGAGATTATAAATAAATTTAAAAAAAATATTCAGTTTCTACCATTTTTTTTAATTATAAGTCACCTGTGACTTTCCAGCTTACAGGACTTTTTTTTAAATATTAGATTTTTGTAGCATTAAAAGTGGTAGCTAAGCAAGGTTTCAATAAAGCAAATCTATGAAAATTTCAGATAATTGGACAATTGCGTATATGTTTATTTTACCTAATATATGCCACTTGGATTCATGTTGTGATGAACATAGTTATTCTGAATAGAAAATAGAAGCCTAAATTTAGCTACAACTTTAAATATAAGGTATATTTTAACATTTGACATAAGTCTCTCATTCAGACTTTTTCTAAGCGCGGGAAAAGTGAGCTGGTGTCAAATAGTTGAGACATAATACTTTGTTTCGTTCTAAGCCCACTAGAGAGCAGCACTAACACTATTTAATTCTTCGGCATTGCAAGTTTTGATAATTTTTTAAATACTGCTATAATTTTATTAAATTTTAACTTATGTTAAACATGCATATAAAGGACAATTATCAACGTAATTCCTTTAAAAAAATTTATATTATTCAATTCTATCATAGGAAAATATTCCGTAGAAAACATAAATGTAGAACTCTTAAGATCAATTTTTCTTTTTATCTTGAAGATGAATATGAAAATAACATACTAACATCTTTTCGATATAAAATTCATCCTCTGTCAAAAAAATGATGCATTCAACTGAGGAAGACACTATTTGCACTATCACTATTTTTACTATGTTATATTTTCATTTATATGCCAAGAACAATTATTCATAATAAACGGCCGTCATAGTAAAGAAATATGCTGTATTCAATTGAATAACAGATAGTAAAGTTCCTATATGAATTATGAAAATGTTGTTATAAAGTTATTCTTATCAACTATTATCCTGAACTATTAATGAGAAATTTGTTTTCTATAAAAATCAAGGGAATATAATTTTTTTTTTATTTAATTGCCTCATTGGCGTTAAAAAATTAAAATTTTGAGTATTTCAAATAAATTTTCTCAAATTATTCGAAAATCACGATATAAGGATGATTAGGGTGAGAAAACAATAACGGAAGATTTAAAATGTTTTGGGAAATTAGTAATTGTGTGTCTTGATTAATTTATTTCTTTAATAACCACTTAGATTTTAAAAAAAATAACGTAATATATTATTACAGAAAAATAACAAACTTAAGTTATTTATTTTTTACCACTATTTTATTCAAAACTAATTAATAATTAGAAATGAGTAATGGCACTACTTTTCCATTTATGTTTACTAAAACTCAAGTTAGACGGAAACACGTTGCATAATTCAGGGAAATTCATAATAATAAAACATTTTTACTTTGTTAAAACAAGGCCAAATCGCAATTTTAAGCATTTGCTAACCCTTAACTAGAAAATGTTTAGTAATGCAATGATGAAAAAAAAAAAAAAAAAAAAAAAAATATTACAAAACAAATCTGGTAAAATTGGGATCATAATAGAGAAATTATATTAATTGGATTACTTTTAAATATTATTGACCATAAATTAAAAGTTAAGAAGTAATACGAATTTAACTTGATTGGAATTAAATCTTTGATAACCAAAATCAACCCCTTGAAATTTTGAGAAAGCGTTAAATGAAGTGATTTATAATTCTATAATTTATAATCCCGTAATAAAAAAATTGCGGATGCCAACTGCATCGCACGAGCTATAATAATTTAAAAAACGGTAAACAAGTACAAACTAAATGTGCAAATATTTGACTAATTTTGCTTACTTTTTAAACGTGACGAATTATATAAGTGGCAATTCAAAAATAAGTGACAAATGATATAAGCTTTCGAATTGTTTAGAAATAGTGGTGGATGAAAACCAAATAAATAGAATTTATTAACTCAAGAATCTCACATTAATAAACTACCACTCGAAAATACTTATTTGCTGTCCGGAGCAAGTTGGTATTTCTGCGTAGATGCCGAATCTCCCGTGAAAACTAGGAGATTTGGTATCTACACTATGCAGAAATAGGAAATGGCTTGTTAAAATAATGTCAATAACCTTAGATTTCCCGATGAAGGCTGGTCAATACGAATTCCGCATCCGGCTTGCACCGACCACAGTGCTGAAGTAAAATCTCCTCAGTTGTAGACGGATCAAGGGTTTAAGTTGCTTTGCCGTCAGACTAACCGTGGGAAGTTTTCGTGGTTTTCCCCGCCATGTAACCCAAATGGGGTTTGTTCCATCATAATGTCCTCCACGGAGGCAAAATTTATCCCAATAATTGATCCTGAAGTTCCCTTGTCTTCGGAATTGGGTTCAAAATTACAAGACCACAGAATTGAACATTGGCTGTAGTAAACTTAAAATTGAGTCGGCTGTTCAACGACGGATATATAAAAAATTATCATGGATTATCTTTAAATCGTTTCGTTTACATGTTAGACATGAGACAACGTACAAGAGAAATATTAGAGGTATAATATTAGTACTATAGGAATTCGGGGCTAATACAACGAAAATTAATGAACATATTATAAAAAAGATTAAATAAAAGCTACATATTTGACAAGTTAGAAAGTGAATTTTTTTCTACTTTCAATGGTGAGATTTTTTTTAACCCATTAGCAAAATGGGTGCTGTTTTGGGTTTGATTGCGAGCGCATCTTGTTTGGACGTCATCACACTTTCAACTGTGTTCAAGAGTAATAGTAAACTGCGCGCATGCGTCGTCATTGCATGCGTTGCTATGAAGCTGGTGTTTGATAATTTTTTTATAATTCCTTTTTTCACGTTTAATTTTGTTATGCATTAAATTGGTGAGTTCATTTTTGAGATATGGGACCAGAGAGACACCAAAAATACTTCTTGAGTAGAGAATAAAAGAGAATTTCATCATTTGAGCGATATTTTTGTTTTTATTGTTTTAATTAAGAATCGGAAAATCTAACCTACAGTTGAAACTGGATCGTTTTCAATATTAATTCAGGTGAATATCACAAATAAAGAGAGCACAAAGCTGATTGAGACGGTCCCAAAGGTTAGAGTTTTTCCTTCTCTTCTAACCAGCAGGCATTTTTAATGTATTTACATAATAACAATTTAGAGTACTTTTATATTCTATATATTATTGAGTTATAATTTCTGTCTTGACGGTGATTTTAATCTAAGTATGAATAATGAAGAAAGAAGGTGACATCTTGAAACACGTACATAGGCAGGACTTGAAAACCAATCCGACGACAAACATCAATTGAGTCAGTTTTTGCAATCCATGAATTGAAATGTTGTGGCGGTTATCGAAGTCAATCCAGAAAGAAAANTAGTAAATAGTGCGCATGCGTTGCAATGGCGACCGCTGCTGTTTGATAATTTTTTCAGAATTCTTTTTTTCACTTTTAATTTTGTTACGCATTAAGTGGGCGAGTTTATTTTTGAGATAGGGGAAAAGAGAGATCCCAAAAATACTTCTTGAGTAGAGAATAAAAGAGAATTTCATCATTTGAACGATATTTTTGTTTTTATTGTTTTAATTAAGAATCGGAAATTCTAACCTACAGTTGAAACTGGATCGTTTTCAATACTAATTCAGGTGAATTTCGCAAATAAAGAGAGCACAAAACTGATTGAGACGGCCCCAAAGGTTAGAGTTTTTCTTTTTCTTTTAAACCAGCAGGCATTTTTAATGTATTTACATAATAACAATTTAAAGTATTTTTATATTCTATATATTATTGACTTTTAATTACTGTCTTGACGGCGATTTTAATCTAAATATGAATACTGAAGAAGGAAGGTGACGTCTTGAAACACGTACATAGGCAAGATTTGAAAACCAATCCGACGACAAACATCAATTGAGTCAGTTTTTGCAATCCATGAATTGAAATGTTGTGGCGGTTATCGGAGTCAATCCAGAAAGAAAAAAAAATCATTTTCCCAATGGGTAACTAGTGATCATAATAAAGAGATCAAAATTTGTTTAATTCATAATTAACGCGTTTCTTATGTGACTAAATTTAACTTTAATAATATCCTTATATGTAATAAGGATTTTTTAATAAATGAAACGTAGTGTCTTTTATATTTTATTTATATTAATTCTTTTAAACGTGTTTCTAAAGAATTACTTATTTTTTGTCTAGCTTACTTATAAAAAATACAAAAATTACTTAGAGAATTTCTTGAAACTTTTTACGTTTTTAAGATTCTTTCTTTAGTTGCCAATTTAAATTTTTAATTTTTATTATTTATACTTAATATAAAATTAACAAAATAAAAAGGCTATATTACCATTACTTTTCTCAAAAAATAATTTATATTAAAACACTTTTTACATTAAAGGCTGTCTAGTACCAATATATAGTAAAA